CAGACACCAGACCTTGAGAATATGCTGATCTGGAATGGCTCTGTGTCTCATTTGAACCATCCAATAGAAATGATTCTGTATTTCGCCTCATTTGAAAGACTCTGTGTTTCACCTCATTTGAATAACTCTGTACTGCGCCTCATTTGAATAACCCTGTATAGCGCCTCATTTACATTGACCAATGAGAATAGCTCTGTACAATGTCTCATTAGAATTATCCAATAGAATCCCTGCACCTAGCTTGCGCCTTTTTCCCTATATAAGGACCCCTTTCCCTTGGCTCGGGGCGCTTAGCCACACAGAAGCTAAGTCGCCCCGGGTACCCGCGTCTCTAATAAAACCTCTTGCGGTTTTGCATCCAAGTCTGTGGTCTCGCTGATTCCTGGGTGCGGGTCTCCTTCTACGAAAGTACCTCTTCGGGGGTCTTTCATACTGACTCACTGTTTCCAGTTATTTTTCATCATTTATCCTCTCATCAAAAACCCTTGAGTTTAGCTGAGAAAGGGTGTACTGGTTGGTTTTGTGTCAACTTGACACAAGCTAGAGTCATCAGATAGGAAGGAGCCTCAGTTGAGGAAATGCCTCCATGAATCCAGCTAAGACATTTTCTCAATTAGTGATCAGTGGGGGAAGACCCAGCCCATTGTAGGTGGTGCTTGTGGTCCTGGGTTCTTCTTTAGGAAAGAGGTTGAGCAAGCCAGGGGAACCAAGCCAGGAGGCAGCTCTCCTCCATGACCTCTGCATCAGTTCCTGCCTCCAGGATCCTGTCCTGTTTTGAGTTCCTGTCCTGACTTCCCCCAATCTGAAAGTGTAAGTCAAACAAGCCCTTTCCTCCCCAACTTGCTCTTTGGTCATGGTGTTCATTTCAACAATAGAAACCCTAACAGAGGGGTAGGGGGAAAGAAGATTAGAAGAGAGAGAAATAGAGAGCACAAAACTATTGTCAAAAAAAAAGTTCGAGGCCAGCCTGGTCTCCAGAGCGAGTGTCAGGATAGGCTCCAAAGCTACACAGAGAAACCCTGTCTCGAAAAACAAACAAACAAAAAACTATTGACAACCTCACAGGACTACAGAGAATGGGGAGAGGCTAGGTACACAGGTGCATGGCAAGACACACTCCCTTCCATCATTAATAGAGGGAAAGACTAGACACACAGGAGCAGTAGCGGCTTCCTTCAGAAAGCTGTACTATTACTGTGTGGCATACAAATTAGTCTTTCCCCCGTGGTGGTAGAGATTGAACCTAGGGCCTCACACATGCTAGTCAAGTCCTCTGCTGCTGAGCCATACCCCAGGCCTCTTTATATTTTAATTTAAAAATGTATTTGTATTTGAATGTGCATGCATGTGTCTGCTTTTGTGCTCATTGTGCATGCAATGCCTGCAGAGGACAGAACAAGGTATCAGAACTGGAGTCACAGGAGGTTGGGAACTGCCTGATATGGATGCTTGGAAGAGAACTGTGGTCTTCTGCAAGAGCAGCAAGTACTCTTAACCACGGAGCCATCTCTCCAACTCCCTTATTACTTTTTTTTTAAATCTTTCTAAGTTGTCTAGAGAGACCATGGAGTTTCTATTCTCCTGCCTCAAGTCTCCTGAGTAGCTAGAATCACAGCCTATGGTACCAAGCCTGGCTTTCAAGTTCACTTTTCTTTACCTTGGCTTGCATTCATGCATTCATTAAATTATTCCAGATGTCCTGGTCTGTGGGTACATGAAAAGTATACACCAGGCCACTGGCTAGCCAAACAACAGTAATATGTTTTTACAGATAATGTAATTTATTATTTACAAGCCACCTGGCTTAGATAAGCCTAATTATCTGGAACTAAGGTACAGGAAAATTATCCTTTTAAGTGGGAAAAATATATGAGCCTCCCAGATCAATTCTGGGAAAAAATGAGGACCAGTTTTGTCAATTAGTATAACTCCTTCGGGGCAAACAGTGATGATTTCTCATTGATGTAGTTGGGATAGATTATGGT